ACTGCGAACGGAATTTTTTTTTTAATTGCGTATTGACACTGAGGTTTCAGTGTGTTACGGGATGAACGCAACCCTGTAACATTTGTCTCAACTCGTTAACATTCCCACCATGGTGTGTGAATGATTTATTATATTACGTCATTGTCATGCAAATTAAACGATTTGGGGGTTTTAATAACTCCCCACGTACACACATTAAACTTTCATACTCAGGCAGTAATAAATCATAGCGCGTTGTACAAGACTAAACATAGAATACATTTTTACGTTGACAGTTATTAATTTTAAATTGTTTAAATTAGTTTGAATACAAATGTGCGTGTATTGAATACTGGCAGACATTGTGGTAATTGCCAGATTACGGTATTGATTGATTGTCTCTGGCCACAGCCACGTCTCATATTATAGGACAGAATAGTAATGATTCGTATATACGATATATACATATATAGCGAGTAATTAATTTATGTTGCCAGCCGTGGAATATGAAATCAAGAATATGATGTGGGGGAAATAGCATGAATAGTTCGTAGAATTTGCCGAGAGGTTCTGAATAGACACTTCTCACATAATATTTTAATTTTAGAAAGCCATCGATAATTTTAAAGAGCGTTTATAGAACAACCATCCCGCTGACTAAGTTGTCATTGGCTAGAAAAAGAAACTCTCATGAGCCTCTGCGTGTACGACTGTTTTACGCAGATTAGAGATCCCATTAAACTTCATATGAATCGTTCCCATATATACATAAGCGTCACACTGGAAATGTATGCAAATGGTAATGATTCGCTGATGAAATGTGATTGGCGAAGCGGTCATACGTAATGTTTCAAATGACGGTTGAAAACCCGTGACAGTTCAAACATAGCTGGGTAGGGAGGTGCCCTTGAGTGCTCAAAAGTGAGACCATGTTTATACCTGGATAGTAGCAAAATCTATACCCATATTTATACCAAAGTACCATTTCTGTCATCACTGTTTATTCTAAATAAAACAGTTACCGTATTTGCTCTATTAGAAGAGCATCCCCAATATAAGCACATGTATGCTAAAAGTTGCATTGTATATTGATTTATTAAATCATGTATTTTGACCATGGAAACACCTCTGTCACTTACATAAGTATACCAAATCGGAAAAATATTACCGATATGTTTTGACCAGAAATAAGACCGATACTTATACCAAAAATCAAAAAATACTAGACCCATTTCAGGGGCAGGCCCCATTAAGCAAGTTCTATGTATCCTCCCCCGGGGTTAAAAACAACTTGACTAATCACAGCGCCATTATGGATGCCAGTATAAAATGTATTTCGCGCACATGGCAGTAAATCGACCAGTGAGAGACAAAGAGATTCATGGGTAATGTACGTTACAAAACGGCTTCCACGACCAATGTAATCGTCGTCTTTTCTGGATTTGAACAAAGTGCGAGGATTCTAATGCCATTGTCCAGTAAAACATGCAAAACACGTTTCCTTGGGAATTGATAAAATATGCCCCCCCCCCAAATTCCTGGAGTCCATAAAAAACCACTGACATGGATACTCTTCCAAATACTGTATCCCCCCAAAAGTGGCATCACTGTCATGCGCATGTATGGTTTCACCAAGGTTTGCTGTGACGTCATTAATTCTGCCCGAGTGGGTGGCAATTTAACGATTTAAAGATTACCGAGAAAATCTCGCTATTTTCATGAATAAAACTGCCGTCGATATTTGGAGGCGATTTCTATTCCTTTTTTTCTCTTTGCATTCCAGATGAATATTGGCACATCCTATGTTAAGCACAAGTACGACAGGGTTACTCAAATATACGACTCCTGCGGCACTAGTACTTAGTATTGGATCAGCCAGTCATGCTTATTCTTTAATTTGCAAATATTAGACCATTTCTTATTCTGTAACTTTAACTGGAACTTGACGTGCAGACAGAGACATTA